TCTATCTTACCTAGAATAGCTCGATACTCAACGGATGCAGTCATATAAGAACAAGAAATCCTCTTGATGATATCAAAGTGAAAAAAAATGCAAGATTTCAGTAGACGCTAGTAAGATGAAAGAAAAAAATATCGAATGACGACATTTGTTGATTGATTTTCTATTGATATTTTTGTCTAAATTTATAGAAGAGATAAATATCATGAGTTGATAGTAATTAATATGGAGGGAAATGAAGAGAAGAATGGGAAAAGGTCATAAGAATCAATAAAATTGATAGTGTGTTGTTGATATTTCGAAACTGTAAAAGTTGTTAATCAATAGGAAGAAACCTTTGAAGAAAAGAATGGATTTTGTTTTCATTTTCAGAGATTGACATGTGCGTTTAATGAACTAATACGTTATCAATATGAAATTGGTCACAAATCGAATTACATTGATTAGACGAAAAGCACCATGTCGATTTCTCGAAGAAATTTAACGTAAAAATATCAAGAAGAATTTCGAAGGAAAGCTTAACATTCTTTTTCTTATGCGTAGAACAATTCAAAAATCCTTTTCTCATAATTATGACTTAATAGATCTCATTAAAACTTACTAATTATATTACCAAACAGACTACTGTCATATGTCAAATACTTTCTTTATAATGAAATAACATATTTCTAGAATAATTTATCATCGCTTCGACTGAATACTTCATCAAGTACGTTTGATTTCTTCTTATTAATCTAAATTTATACCTACGTTTATAATTATGTAATCATTGCTTTTATCTTTTCTCACATCTTCTGTGGTATAAATGGAATATGAAAAGGTATATTAAGGAATGAAAGCTGTCCTCAGCAAATCGCTGCTGAGCTACCCGTTGAGTTCTGAATGATTTCAAATAGACAATCGTCGTCTGAGGAATTTTATTGACAACATTGATAACGTTTCATTAAAATCTATCACATTTTATGAGTCAAAATGAGAAGTAACTAATAGTAATGACTATACTTGTATTTAGTTGTGGCTAACAAATTCATAACATTTCTCCACGTTGTTGTGTTAGTTGTTGTTCGGTTGACTTGGAAGTGCTGTCACTCGTGGTGACTTGAAAAGAAAAGGATTTTTCACCTTTGTCCAAACATCTGGTAATGATCCCAGACTCACAAATGGCGAAAACATGATCACATGATACGTGAGAAATGAGAGAACACCTGTCGCTGGATTATTCAAAAATAATTCCACTAAATTTAACATCGCAATGAGAAATTGACAGTCGGCAAAAAGTTTTAAGGGGGGGCAATAAAATATTTTCAATCATTATTACGACAAATATTCGTTTTTTCTGAATCCAAAAATTTTTTCAGGGGGACCAACTGCCTCCCCTTCTGGCCCGCCACTGCATGAGCAAGCCTACTAAACTACCGCTTCAGAATTTCTTGTTCAGTCCACTGTTGATGAAATTCTCGAAAAATACACCAAATCCATCTTACACCCAAACGCTTTTGTAAAGTTCAGAATATTATATTGGTAATTAGGTTTCATTCGATTTTCTTTGAAAAAAACAACACAAGTTTGCTGTGAAAGTAGACCAGAAAAGCGTTGGTAGCGTTTCACTATCTAATATATGGAGGATAAAAATAAAATCTAAGCAATTTACTACCAAAATGATCAGCATGAAGAACTTAACCAATGCTGAAGGTTTCATCAGAATCGAACAATGTCGCCAAAGAGGCTGGCGATTTCCTGCGGATACACTGATATACTAATTTTATCGAATTTTTTTAGATGGTCGTATCTGATCGGTTCCACAGCATCAAATTTGTTGACCTAGGTATTGAACTTTTTAAATAGGAATCGAAGAAAATTTCAACGAAACTCACTATGGGTACAGTCGACCGAGCTCATCTTCGAACTCGGCCGAGACATAATTAGATGAAATAATGCTATATGGAAAATTTCAGCTCCATTTGATTCTTCTATCGAAAGTTATCACGTAAACGGACGGACACACTGACCGACTTCAGAAGTGTACTCACTTTTTGAGTGCGCGAAAATATTCCTTTTCGTGTTCTATATTATTGAAAAGAAACATATCAATGAAGCCTTAAATATGCGTACATCTATTGTACAAAAGGAATAATCAATAAAATGTTATTTTTATTTACAGAAAATCAAACAATATGATGTCTAATCCACGTCGCACAAAAGCATCGAAAAATCATATGCACGAAATTCAATCGAATATGACAAAAGTTTCTCGTCATCCAAATAATCGAGTAATTATTTTTGTTGTCATTATAATTCTTAATATTGAATCAATTTAGCATCATCATCCAAATAAATTATCATCATTGCCAAAATCACGCATAATTCATATAAATATTCGATCAAAAAGCAATAATC